ATGTTTTTATCTGTTTTCCCAGGTTTACTTCAAAAGACATTCCAAATAGGTTTCATTAGGGATTTTCAACTGTCCCTCTCAGAGTTCCATCCTGGTCCTGATGAGGAATGGAGCATACAGGTACAGTACCTGTATATACTGTACACAGCCCAGTGTCAGCGTCTAGTACAAATCGGACAAAAATAATAAGGGTATATAATATAATTGTGTACTACATAATTTATTAAAAATAATAAAAACACAAGCAAAATAAGCCAGTCATTTTGATGGGTTAGGTGAAAATAAGGTGAATTCTAGGCTGTATTAAATTTGGGCAGTGTGGTAAGCATTGCTGCCTCTCAGCTCTGGTAGCCTGGGTTCAATTCCTGGGGTGCTATGTGTATGAGTTGATATTTTCTCCACGTGTTTGTTTGGGTTTCCTCCCACAGTCCAAAGACAATGGATTCTGGGAAAAGTAGCCCTGGTGTGGGTGTGTGCATGTCTGTGTGTGTGTCTTTGTGTCTCCTGTGTCCCATCAATGGTGTATCCTGCCTTGCACCCATTGCCTGGGATGTGTTCCTGCTTCCCGTGACCCTGAATTGGATAAAATGGTTTGAAAATGGATAGATGTACAGTATGTATTACATGCATTCCATTACCTCTACATACAGTACCTAAAATATCAATTCACATATTTTTAATGAGTTTGTCTTCCTCCTTATCCTGCATGATAAAAAAACCCCAAACATTTTAAAATATTAGAGTCAAAATCTCTTTTCAAATCTGGTGCAAAACCTCTCTTGTAGGCCAATACAATACAGAAGCCCAGCTAACAAAAAAGGATAAAAAATTCAGTTACAAAAATGGCATTGCTTCACTAAAAGTCCTGCAAAAATGCTGAAAAGCCACAAACTATGAATAATGCAGCTAGTGTGCTATTTGTGCTCCAAATATAGAGACAGCAAACAAAGAAATAGCTCCTACAGTAAGTTTTTTAGACAGTAAACATGCTGACCATTCCAACACCATCATGATTTATGAAGAACTGCCAGCAATTCCATGTTCAAAATCTACAGAAAAATAAAATATCTGGAAGTAAAAGAAGCCTTAGTTTCTAGTCAAAAGCTTTTTTTATATATATATATAAACATCAATAACACATACTGTAAAGCAAGATTTAATTTTTGAAAGGTTTAAGGTTGACTCGGACATTTTATATATACTGTATATAAATATCCATGCACACGAAAACAATGATAAATACATATAGATATACTTACATCTGTTGTAAATGTTTGTCATAAAATCAGGTCAGACATACTGGCTTCCTTTAAAACCTACTTATGGTATCCTTGTAGCAATACTTCAGTGGTTCTACTTTCGTAAAACATTTTGGTAAAAAGTTAAAACTAACATCTGACAAAAGGGAGATAACAAATACCTGTTCTGAAAGGCTTTATATTTCTATGCAACTTTTTCAAATTTATGTTGCATGCAATCTTAATTTAATGCTGCACAGTGCATCTGGGTACGTAAGAATAAAAGCTTTCAACCTTTTCTAGTCAAAAGGACCAAATTTGCTTTGCACAGTCACAAATGCATTTTTTCTGACTTTTAATTCAGTACTTTATATTTGCTTTCAAAGGCTTTGAATTATTTAAAGAGCTCATAAGGTTGTATAATATAACTTGAAAACAGTAATCTAGCAGAGCCTATACAGTATGGTGCAGGAGAAAAACACAGATTTATAATTATACAGTTTGCAGAAAACAAATGAATAAACATGGTGACATAAGAGTGGCAAGTTTACTAATAATAAGAAACTTTACAGTCTGAAAAAACAATTATAGATTATACATATTGTATGCTGATGTTCAATGAAAACCGTTTTCCATGTATTACAAAATCTAAGCATTACATGTGCAAAGTTATTTAAATTTTAAATAGAGAGCAGATAGGTTTTTTGATGAAGTAGCATTGTTTCTTGCGATAGCAAATACTGAGCTCGAGACATGCGCTCAATACTTTACATGAGTTGAACTGCAGTTACAAATATGAGTTTATTAAGAATTAAGACCACATACTGTACAACTGAAGTACTGAATATCAACCGGGTGCTATCAGTATTAATAGGGATGGACTGCATGTCAGAGAAGATGGCAAAATAACAAGACGTTTTGCTTCAACAATCAACATGCTTATCCAGAAAAACTGACTAAATGCAGGACAGTCTTCCTATTACAAGGTCACAACATCCCAGAACCATCATGTCCATCTGCATAATAGTTTTCAAGGCTGTGGCAGCTATAGCACAAAGTGTCCTTGCAAGAAGTAGCCCGGACATCAATAGAATAACTGCAGCTCACCACCTGCATGAAAACAATACGGACGCTCAGAGGCCTTTAAGGGATAACATAATCGCAGCTAAAAGATGAAATCAGCATCTTCTGTGGGTGCATCTGAGGTGATGGCAGAGAGAATGGTGTGTCTTTTGATTTACGGATGAATGAAAACTGGTCTTTGACAAACTTGACTCTATATAACACAGATGGAGATGTCATGATAGGAATTCTGCAGACCACTGGATTATTCAAGTCAGCTGTGAAGTGCCAGAAGTGCGATGATGGGTGAATTATCTCTCTCTGCCTCCTTGAGGACAGCCTGCTCAGTGATACTGAGCCAACAGATGTTCTTTTCCTGCAAGCCAATGTGGACATGTCCATGTTTCAGCAAGACCATAACTTTCACCGCCTGGCTGGGCCACCAGAAGAAGTGGTGAAAAGTGCCATGGCAGTCTTTCCAGAGGCTGATCAGGTGTGCGTGTAAACGATGCCAGGCCAGTGTTAATATCCAGAGCCTCGTGCCTGCAGCACACTTTTGACATCCTGATAGTGTTATGTTTTGTGCTGAAATCTTGTCGCAATTCTTTAATTGGAAATGTTGTTTACCTTGTATCTGCTGTGTTTAAAGCATTGGATTATGTCCCTTATTCACAGAGAGTTGTGTTTCTTTTGAAGTATGAGAAAAAATCAAACAAACATACCAAATAACTGGTGCTTTCTTTCATTCCTTGTAACTACAAGCAACATCCCACCTTCCCAATTTGGTCATACAACACATTCAAGCTTATTTTTATTTTTGTGTCATAGCTGAGTCCTACAGTGTACTGCATAACATACGTACAGTACAAAATAACAGTCTTAATTCCAATCAGATAAAAGCTCATTTCAGGTGTAAAGAAGCCCATGAGTAGGACTGCTCATCTATTCAATTTCAAGCTGTTGACGTTAAAGGGTCCATTGTAGGTCTTGATATTTATTTCATATTTCAATGTGCTCATAAAAGGGCATGAATAATTAGCACATCTCAATTGATAACCTATGCTTTTTTCAAATAATCCATATAAGTCTAAAATCCAGATTTTTCATATGATCTACTGTATATTAAATCTAAATTTCCAGTAAATGCATCATTATTGAAGATAACGTTAAAACAAAAAGAAACCAATAAGTACGGAAGTAATATTGTAAAAAAATAAATAAAATGTGCATTTACAGAAAAAAAAACATCAATACACACAACGATAAATTTGAAGGATGCCCAGTATCAATGTTTCTCTGACCAAACTTCTTAACAGGTAAAAAAAAGTCAACATCAATGTAAAAAACTATAATTCTGTTAAAAATGTGCCCTGCTATAAACTGTGATAGTAATTTCACTGATAATTGTAAACCCACATTCCCCTCACACTTTTTCCAATGTCTTTAAAAGATCATCTATTACCTATTTAAACATTTGAATAAATAAACAAAAAGATTTACAAAAATGATATTATTCATAAGCATGTTTCCCTTTTGACACATAAGGCAAAAGTAAGACCTCCACCAAAATTAATAACTACGTTTAGAAAGTAAAAAGAATGGTATTTAGAAAGGTACCCATGGAGATGCTTCATTCTGAGAAAAACCCTCATGGCAGAAAGAAATCTGCTTCCATCAGAAAAGTTGTTTCCTGTCATGCACAATGGGATCAACTCTTGCCATCTGGCATAAAGTGGGTGTGCTAACTATTATTCTTTGGAACCATGGGTCTTAAAGTGCATCATATCATTTGTTTTTGTTTATTGTTTTCTTGTTGATAATTGTTTGTGCAGTATAGTTTAATCCTGCATGTACCTAATAGTGGTGAGTTAGTAGATGTCATTTTCTCCTATTCGACCACCTATTACTAGAACACTAGAACTTCAGCCTCAGTTCGCAGGTAGGACAGGGAAATGCTTCAGTCATTAGTGCACAGCTAGACTGCCCTCAAAATCAAAGACTGATTACCACTAAGTGACTGGTGAATGAAAGCTGGGGTTTTTGTTTCAGGATGAGATTTAACACTAAACATTTACTGTATGTCTATAATTTTCAACTCAATACAGAAACAAAAAACGAAAGCAATTCAATTGTCAGTAGCCTGTTGCTGATGTCACACTCTGTGGCTTAGCACTCCCCTGTCCTGTTCTGTGCAGGCATTCGCAAAGGCTGTGTATTGCTTCAGTACCTAAAGACAGTGATGGTTTAAATATCATATTATTTGCCAGATAATAACTTAAAGCATCGGCGCTCTGGAAAATCATCTCTAATGCAGTACATCAGATTAAAACAGGAATTTCTAGCCCAAAATAAACAAAAATGCATCATGCTGCAATAAAAGCCAACTGAAATGTAAACTTACAGTATGTGCACAGTTGAAGTCACCCGCTGATTTATTACAGAATGGTATTAAATTATGATTAAAAAAATGGAAGTCATTTAGCATACTTAAAAAAGCTTAACATTGTTATATAGTGCTTACTGTATGTTATAAATGTTCAGAGATTTGGATCTTGTTAAAACAGAAATCATTTAAGTAAATGTAAACAAGGTATACATTTAACTACAATTAGCAAATTAGAAATGAGAAAATTTTAAACGGACTGAACATTAAAATATTTAGTCATCATTCAATTTCCTGTATGCTAAAGTAATACTTACAGCTGGAGAATATAAGTGGGCAAGAATGTTCATCCATTGGAAAGTTATGAAGTTGAAGCTGACATTCTGCATTTATGGTGAGCCTGTTAAACAGGGAAAAAAAAAACATTTATTCCTGGTCTTCCGGAAATAATATGTATGTATAATAGTATGTTCTTTACTTGATAATATCACTAATTTTGTACTTGCTGAAAAAAATAAATAAATCCAATACTTCCTAAATGAAGTCTATGAAGTATAACTGATAGGAACAAACTGTATTCATTCTTCTGCACTGCCAGGTCCTTAGAATTGCTTATCCATATATATACCCCCTTGTATTCGTTTGGCGTTCAGAATTTCAGGTTAATAACTATTTCAGACAATGCTACAATGTGCAAATAGATTGCTGAGCAAATAGTCACTTGAATTTGAAGGTGAGGAAAACCAGATTCCAGATTTGCTAATGACTGTGATAATATGCCCAGCTATATAGATGGACACAAATGTAACTCTGGTAAATTTACTGTATGGTGTCAATTTATTATTAACAAATGTGTATAAATAATTTACATAGAAATATCACTATATTTAGACTGAAAACAATATTGCATCATTGCATTGTATGCAAGGGAGATGTAGAATTATGAGGTTTGTTTTGCAAATAGGGTCTTGCACCAAAGAAATGAACCGCCATAATAAATATAGCCTGTTGCTTCCTATGAAACTGCACTGTCTGAAAGATAACTCTTTGTTTTTGTCTCTTCTTGTCAATTAATAATTGTTTTATATGACGTTTCTCATACAGAATGCTGCCACCTCTGTTTAGAAGTAGATCTTTCCATACTTAAGTAACAGAAGGTTTGCTAGATAGAGGTAAAACTTTCAAGTAATGCACTTTGTATTGTAGCTGAAGACCACCCCGAAAATAAGAGCTTTAAAATAGACTAAACAGTCTTAATAATAAACTGTGCCTTTGAAGGTAGGGATCATGCTCTAATGCTTTAAAAATAATATCTCAGTACTGTGATCACACTACAAAAATTAAAACCAATAATGGCTCTAGCTTAAACTAAGTTTTTTCTTATCCTCAGTTTTTCCCTTTGTCTTAGTTACAGACGTTTTGTTCTTGTTGCCAAGGGAATATTTTGTAGTAGTGGGTACAGTAAGACAAATTATCTAAATTGGTACAATTTCCAGAGTACACCCACATTTGTTTAAAGAGACACAGTAAATTAACTACACATTCTGTTCTGTTCATGTCCTTTAAGCATAAAGCTCCCATTATGATATTGGTTGACAGGGAGGCACAGTACTATACCACAGTGTTTAGCATTGCTGCCTCACAGTGCTGGGGCCTTAGGCTCCATTCCCGGGGTGCTACAGATGTAGCCATCAAGAATGTGTGAGGTGTCCAGAGGTATGCTGGAAGAGGTACTGCAGTGTACAGATCTGATGTGCAGCCCCTCATTCTTATTTTTCCCTAATTGTCAAATGCAGGACTGCACTATGCTGTAATACTGCCAGGTGGTGCAGTAAAGACTTAAACTTCCCAAATACTGTGCTGCTGCACCCTGGTGAGCCGTCAGTTGAGGTCATGTGTGCATGCAAAAAATAAAACTTCAAAACACCACTTATGAAAACAAAATCCAAAATATAATAATAAAAATCCACATCACTTAATTGAAACCCCAAAAGAATATTTAAAATGTTGGATTGTATTGATCAGTTTAAAAATAATGAAAAATATGCAGCAACTGTGTTGATTGTTATATTTCATTACATTTGTGACCAAGAAAACCCACACAGAAAAGAATACTTGTAAAACATTTGTTGCCTATGATTTTCTAAAAAGATCTTGTGTCTTGAATTTGAATCTTGATTAATTCCCACCTCATAGTAGATACTACAATTATCAGAACACACTAAAACAGAAAACACGTCTACATATAAAAACCCAATAAACAATTTTAATAATTGTTTCTGGGTTGATTTACAGTGCATGATAAAGATAACTCCCATGAAATATAATACCAAACAGATTTTTGCCAACTGATGGCATCATTTTGAGAGGGGACAGTGAAATGATAAGCAGTTTTTGTACTGATTTGGGTTATGTTTCAACACATTTATGAAACTATTACTTTCAATGGGGGTTATAGGAGCAAGCATCCTGGGTAAAAAAAGGCTCCATACTGTATAGTACTTGTATTTGGTAGCACATGGGTTTGGGAATGCAGGAATACAGTCATATAAGAGTCATGTGACTACATTAACCCTCAAAATTAAACTAAAAGGAAACATTGGTAACTCAAAATTAAACTAAAAGGAGACAAATGATGATGTAAGAAAACGTTTCTTCCCACATGCTATACAGTACATCACACATTAATCCAGTGGTGTGTCACTCTGATTAGATGAGTGAATGTGTTGGACAGTGGGAAAAGTAGATTCTTAGTTCATGTATTAGTGCCACGAGCTAAATTGAAAACTACAACAACTGCTTAGTGGTGGGTTTCTTTAGCTAGGAAGTTTAATTTCCTGTTACACTGTAAAATAACATTATATATAACACATACAAACCTTATATGTAAACAACAAAAATTTAAGATTACTGATGCAACCAGCACACGGTAGCAATGACTTGTATTAAAGTGTGGAAATTTATAAAAACAATACATTATAAAGGCAAACAATATTTAAAAAATGAAACCAAAGTGAAGTGAAGCTCTTTTGACTTCAAGTTGATGTATGCTGTAATAACAGTAGTTTGTGCTCTTAAACCAAGGCAATGCACTGGCCCAAAACCTTTAAAGTGCAGACACTTGAGGGGGCATATGATGAATAGTTTACCACCATCATAACTCAACACAAGATAATGATTATTCCATTCAGAATTCCTTCAGTTTGAAGTTCAAATAGGTTGGAAGACAAGAAAAATAAGTGATTACTAGATGTTTTGTTCTTGTTTATGTACAGTACACTATAAACAATCATACTGCATACTGTATGCATGAGTTTAACTGTGTATCATACCTCTTTCACTGTACACAATCTTGCACGAAACACTGAGAAATACACAAAAATATAATATTCTAAATAAAAAACATTTTGTGGTGATTGTGTCATTGTGGTGAAAGTGTGGTTGACTGTTAATGGAAGGTCTAGTCTATCACAACGTGATAACTGCTTCAGATTTGACATAATAAAACATAGTTCAGGTGGGTAGCTGCGTCAGCATGCGTAGGCTGCAAAGGAACAAGTAATAGGTTTATTCCATGCTGAAAAAAAGAAGAAAGAAGAAAAAAGAAAAAAGAAGAAAGAGAACACAACGTTTCGGCCGTGGAGCACACCTGAAGAAGGCTCCACGGCCGAAACGTTGTGTTCTCTTTCTTCTTTTTTTCAGCATGGAATAAACCTATTACTTGTTCCTTTGCATAATAAAACATATTCATTCAAGTGAATGAAAGAGGGTGTCATTATTCCCTTACATTAAACACTTTTGGTGCCAAAGTACTGTATATACTGTATTCTAACACTTGTGGTCTTTATCTAAATCTTTTTTCCTGTGTTATAATCATAGACAACAGCACCAAGACCTTATATTGTATAGCATTGTTACTCTCAAACAGGAACCTTTCGAAGTTTGCCTTTGCTGTGCCAAACACTATATTCTGACATGTACCAGACATTTTCTGCCACCAAAATACAAGATAAGCACAAGTAAAAAGAAACAGTAAACAGACCTTAGTTAAAGGGCTAATTGATAGTTATCCAAAACAAAAGCAATTCTAGTTATACTACACAAAATATCTCTATGTCATAGGTTTTCATTTCACTTTTGCTCTTAAAGAATCAGGCAAATCATTAGCTTATCTGGACAATTATAACACTCTTCAAAGGTCCTCAGATATTAATAATTTAAAGAAAGTCCGCCCTCAAGGATTAGAAATGTGCACTTATGGCTTCCATCAATACCATGTGTCAGACAGTCATTGCTATTTTCAAGCCATGAAAACATACAGTACGATGATATGGGTGTGACATACGTTTGGAAAAATACTGATAAAGGGCTGTACAAGAAGACAGTGCATCTCTCGCTGTCTCTAAAGGCCAGTAATACTGTATTCTGTAGTAACAAGAAAAGTACACTGTTAAATTCTATAAATTGTTAGCTATATGAACCATTCATATAATTTAAAACAAAACTAACTGTTCTAATTAAATATTAGAACATGATACAGTATGTTAGCTTTATGTACTATCCTTGACTGGCTATTTAAATATAATGAATATATATATATTGCATATAATCCAATAAAAAAACAAGGGATTTTTCTAAATACCTAAATTTGTTGTTGTGAGAGTATCATGTGTTAGTGAGAGTATTGAACAAACTACCCCATGATGTTTTGAAGCTGGTACCCTGTCTTCCTACAGTACAGATACTGTAGATCTACAGTATGTGACAAAAAGTGCCACACATCCACAATGTGTAACACATCTCAAAATAACATCTCATCCAAAAGACAGAAAACATTATAGCATTTTAGAACATACTTTTCTAGATCTCTGACTCTAGACTCTCTGATCTCTATTTCTAATGATACAAATATAATTTACTATAATCCATCAGTGGAAACTCTGCTTTATTTATTTTACTATGTCACTTATGTTAGCACAAACCATGCAATTCCAGCTTACTGTAATGCGGTATCGCCCGCGCATTTTGAATGGCTGCATCTGTATGTACTGTAGTTTTCTGTTTTAGTGTAATTAATTTCAGTGTTCAACTTCACAGAAGCTAGGAAAATCCTGATCGAAAATATTTGATTTTTTTTTTTACTGTTTGGAGATTATGGTGCATACCTTTTTAATATTGATTATATTTAGAGAAATTAAAATAAAATAAACTATAAATAATTATGTCATAAAAATCTTAACATTAAATCTTCAGAACTTGCTGTAAAAAGAAGACATACCACCGTAGTTTCCTATTTTGACCTTAAAAAGAAATCTTAAACTCCCAATAAGAGAACTCTGATTAATATACTGTATTAATACTGTATGTCATACACACCTGCATGTGAGTATCTCATATCTAAATATTCAGATCAAAGTTTGCTTATTTTATCAGCTTCATATGAAACAATTGATTTGATTTTCTTTTTCCACACTCCCAACTCTTTCTTGATGTTCGTGTTACAACAACATTCAGAATGCAGGAATTTAGCTCTAAAGCAAAGAAGCTTTGAAAGTCGGTCATGGTACTTTAGTTGTGTGTGATGGTCAAGAAAATATGCAGATTGTGAGTGTTAAAAACAATAAGATAAATAGATCTAACAGATGTGAAAAAACAGCAAATATAAAATTAGAACTTTTATTTTGTATTCCTGTGTAAATCTTGTAGAAGTTACATTATTCAAAGACTTTAGAAAAATAACTTACTGTATCATCTAATTAAGTCTGAAGATGATAGTATCAAGCACAGAGTAACCATGAAGTAAATTGTGCTATTTCTTTCAGCTGTAAACAGGAGGCCTAGAGCTACAATGGTAATGCTGAGATAATTTAGAACTGATGAATCTTCAAAAGATGGGTTTAATACTTAATAAAATTCTATAAAAGAATAGTACTTTGGCACACAAAAGCAAATAAGAAAGAATATTAATGGTATAACAGAAGAACACTATAAGACATCATGGTGTGTGTCACTTGTGCATATTTTATTGTAAATTAAAAGGATTTAATGCAGCTATAACACATTTACTGGATATAGTAAAATTATAGTAATATTATATTTAATATAATAGGCAAATTAAATGGGATAATGTGCAACACTGGGTGGCACTGATGCAGTGGTTAGCGTTCCTGCCTCACATCACTGGGATCCTGGGATCAATTCTGGACATGTGTTGCTATTGTTGTAACAGACAAATACATCTGGATTCTAAGATGAAGTTTAAACAGATGAGTTTTATTGCATGCAAGTAATAATAAAACCGAAGTATTGTTCGAAGTACCGGTACAAAACTTCCAGTTTATATAGCCCTTTTCTGCCGCTTCTGACGTAGCTCGTTACCATGGTAATGGGGGGAGGTCACGATGTCCGGCCAGTTCACAGACTGGTCACTCTTAATTGTCAGTGTTAGATTTCCTTCCCTGGGGTGGTTTCCTAGCTGGCCTCTGGAATCCTTATCAGTTATCCCCCTTTCCTGCCATAACTCTTAAGTCTGTCACTTAGAAGTCCAGTCCTCATGCAGAAAGGACTCCCCTTCTTCACATCTTATATCTTTCTTCACTATCTACGTATGTGAAATTTGTATTTTTTGTGTGGGTTTTCTCCCACAATCCAGAGACATACTGGTACAGTAGGTTAAATATCTTCTATGAAAATTGGCCTGGGTGTGAGTTTGTGTTTTTGTGTCTGTGTGTGCCCTGCAACAGACTGGCATCCAGAGTGTATCACACCATGCGCTCGTTGCTCGTCAGGATAGGCTCCAGTTCTCTCATGGCCCTAAACTGGATGAAGTGGTTAGAAAACGGATGCTTGGATGTGCAGCACAAAAGAAAAATGTTTTACTAAATGAACAGATGATATCATTATGTATTAGAGTGAGAGAGGGTTTGAACAGTGTCCATGACCAGAGATCGGGCACTCCTTGGGAACAGTTGTTTCCAATAAGGAAAAGATGCTCTTGTACAGTATGTTGACAGCCACTCATGCAAATAAGCAAATTAAATTAACACATTAGTCTAATTTGGGAAACATCCATATTCAATTAGTTCACCATGTATATAAGTTGAGGTGTCATGAAGACTATGCTCTTCTAGAAAAAAAGGAATCATAAAAAGGAGAAGTTTGAGCTATTGTGTCAGAGTTGTTAAGTTCACAGGGATATATAATGTAATAGAGCCACATTGAATCTGAGACACAAATAGATGGTAAATTGACATCCAAGGTGTCTGAGATGAAATGATAGGGATATTTTATGACATTCAGCAGTAATGAAAAATTGTGATAGAATTGTATCTTTAATGCCCTTTTCATAGCTTTTACAAAGAGCAAAATACAGAAATCATCAAGAACAAAATCCTTGTTCTTGAAAAAAGAGCATTTTTCATGGCCAATTAGCATGCATTACCCTATTTTGCTTCTAAATCTTTGATTTAAGAATGGCATTAAGCCATGTTTTAAAGGCTCCTAGTAATCCGTTATTATGTTTAATGGCTTCCTCTTTTGGTTTTTCACACTTCATAAGATGTACAGCAGAAAAAAATCTGCTGTAAAATTGTGATGCCCCTCCAAAGACCTTTATTTCTTAAAAAGAAAAATGTTTTTTTTTTTTCCTTTGAGCAGAGGTGCACAGAAAATAAGAATGAGATTTCAGAAGGTAAGAAAGTTTTACACCTGATCTCACACTGGAACACTCCATCATTAATGATTAAAAAAATAAAAACATGGTAATTCTGTTTCATTTCAGAAATATTCTCAATAAGCCTAAAGCCATTCATGTTCTCCTTATAAACACATAGCACTGTGGATAGTAGTAGAAAGGGCTATTACAAAAAATCACAAAATTATTTTGTTTTTATAATGTATTATCCTTTTAGCTAACATTCACAACAATTATTGCAGCAAAGGAAAAAAAAAGAAAAAATTACAATTCACTAGCTTTTCCAACAATTCCCTGGCATTTCAATCTGTAGATACAGAGGAATGAGTGCACGTTTGCACCATTCACCATGTGAATGCACATTCAAATCCAAAGCAGAACCGCTTTACATCTCTAAATTAATTTCAATATGGTTTCAACAATCAATGACATGAATAAATGGTGACACTTGACGTGGAAATATATTTGCTTTTGTTTTCCTTTTCAGAGAATCCCTGTTAGGAACCCACTAACAATATATCATAATTTTATATATAAATATAATATAATTTTCTACAGTGATTTATCATGATTATATTGGTAGACGAAGTATTGAACGTATTTCAAAAGAAAAACAATAATCTCATTTTAATATTATTATTGCAGTTGTTATTTTTATTAATAAGTAAAATATCATTCTAAATATAAATAGGCCTAATATTTTGATTTCAATGTCGAGCACATACCAAGCACAAGATTTAATTTAATATTTTTTTAAAGCTCCCCCCTTGCTACCTTAGGTGGGGATTAACTGCTGTCCTATCTTAATTTGAATTCTCTTCCCCTGCTAATACCAAAAGGCTTGTTCTTGCTTGCTTCTCAACAGCTGTAATTTTTCCACATCAAGCTCTTGTTAACTTTCTCAAACCTAATTTCTGAGATAATAAAATTCTGCCTTTGGTAGATTTTATTGTAATTATAAGATCACTTTATTGTCCATATACAGTACATTTTCTTGCATTAGGAATTTGTCTTTTTCACATACCCCAGCTTGCTCTCCATGAGATGCACAGACAGAGAGAAGCTTGGGGTCAGAGCACAGGGTAGGAGTCCTCTGCCGGCCGCGGGATTTGAACCATCAACCTTCCAGCCCTAATTTGAGCAACCTCTTCCACATCCCCTTAAAAATGTTTCTCTGTTTACCACTATAAAGGTAAAGTGTGAAGCTTTCATTTAGTTTGCAGAGTTGTTTTACCTCAACGTGTACAAAATTTTCCCATCATTCCATATTCTGAGGAGCTGATTGGGTGTTGTAATCCAATGGGCGTCTGCAGTTTTGGAATTTCTGAAGATGGTGTCTGGTATCCAGATAAGGCCAACCATATTGCTGTTCAAAGTCAATATTTTCATTGTACTGTTGAATCTAAGTCGGCTATCGGTCCACGTCTGAGCAAAAAAGATGTCAATTTGGTATTCCTGTAACAATAAAAATGAGACATTTGTAATATTCCATATACTCAGCAATTGTTAACAATGTCTACAAATTGTAGCAGCTAAACTAGCAATACTTGCTACAATGTTTCTGAAATACATTGCATACATCTAATATTTTCTTAGCATCTAATAATGCTTGTACAGGTAATTACAATATAATTTACCCATAATTGAGCAAAGAATAATGTTTTGCATTATTTTTAATACTAGATTGTAACTTAGTGAGGTTTTTGGTGCCAAAATTAAATTAAATCCAAAGCAGACATAAGATAATAATAAGAATACATTTTATAATGTAAAAACCGTCAGCATGATAAATTAGAAAAACTGTGGCTTCCGCTAATGCAGATACTGTACAGTACATACTGTAAGTTTATATTAGATACACAAGATTCTTCCTCCAACAGATACATATTCTTGAGCTGAAGGTCAAACTTCGACAATTCGTCTGTGTTTACAGTAGTAGCACATGGATACACATAATGGTTTCCTGTTACACATTTATGCATCCCTACATTTTGATACAATCACATTTATTTTATGCAGTGCTAAATGCAATTTTTAACTACATACAGTGCGACTTGGTGCTAGCTTTCAATTTTAAACATCGCTGCTTTTAACGATAGTCGTAACTAAACTTACAAGTTTAATGTTACTACTGACAAAGTCAAGGTACCTCCTTCCCAATGTTGGATTATCAATGTCTATTTCTCTAGCTTTTTATTTGCAGAAACTGATATCAACATACTGTATCCCTAAGCAATCATATCTATTGCATACAGTACAATTATTTTATTTCTCATACAACTCAATGATGTACATCCAGGTGGAAAACATGAAAATGACTCTTATTTGTTTATTTAAACAGGAAATTAACATTTCCATGTGTGATTCAGGGAATTGCACATACAGTAGTTTCTTATCAGGCCTTACTGCACATCTGATAACCCACTTGTTTTACTTTCTTTTCTAAGCCTGTGTAAAGGTAATGCCATTCCTAGATATACAGTACCAGTGACTAAATGCTTATCATGTAAAATGCATTAAGTTACACTTAGATTTTTTAAACTAAAAATCTTAGAATTATTTAATTTTGCTGGGGTGAACTAAAATATTGACTCATTTTCACTCTCTGGTAGGCAGGGAAGGCATAATACAGTCTACACTATATATTTGTAACTAAATATAGAACATTGTGGAGCTTTATACACTTTACTTCCAAGGTAAGTATGAAAAGTAGGATACTTGGAGTGCCTGTATTTAAGTCATGATCATATCAAACCTCAGAAAAAGCAATTACAAAAACAAGCATATTTTACCACAAAACCAGAGCTTAATTTGAAATTTACATCTAACCTCATGATTTATAAGTGCAAATAATTATTTTGGGCACATTCAGAGAAATCTGCACAAGAACCTTTTACAGTAGGTCATTCTGTAGATATTGTTAATTCAAATATTTGTCTGTCCATTATCCTACGTGTTTAGATTTGAAAATCAATGAAAATCAAGTTAATGTCATACAGTTTGTCGTAGTTACATTTACTGCAAAGGAACAAGTGAAGGCTTACTCCATGCTTAAAAGATAAGAAAGGAAACACAATGTTTCGGCTGTGCAGCCATCTTTGGGTTGCTCGAAGAAGGCTCCACAGCCGAACAAAGCAGCTACCTACTTGAGTTATGTTTACTGTACAGTTTCCCTTTGTTGTCAAAATGTCTGCTTACCACAGATTAAGATTTTGTAAACAAAATCTTTTTGTACACATTTTTTTTCTATAAAAAAGCCTGCATTACCACTTGGGACACTATCAAATATAAATCCAAACTGAATGCACCAGCAAGGTAAAAACAAAATGGATCTGCATCGATGTTTAAATAAATAGGACTCTCGGAATCAATAATTTTCTGAATGTGTTTTTAAAATGCCTACATATAGTAGATAACATATACTGAGAGGCATTCAAAATGTAGCTATTTAATATTAGAACCAATAATGTGTTACATCTCTCTGCATATGTATGTTATTTGCTCTTATTTTTCTTCTGCTTTCATTATTGCTTCCCATAAAGATGAAATGCCCCAGAGGTGAATGTCCAGTGGGAAAAACTCCATGCTTATTCCATCTGACACATGTGATAGCTCTTATAGCATGGTAAACACACACCTAAATAGAGACAGCAACAAATAATCACTCTTATTTTGCATGATTCTCCATCCTCTCCATCCTCAATATTCTCAGCCGACAATATTTAAACATGTACAGTATCACTCCTTTATCTGTTCTTACAACTCTGCGAAAGACACAATAGAATGATATTTCTTGACTGTTTTTTTAAATGTACAGTACCATCTGGAGCCTTTATTTTATTTTGCTTCATTACCATAAACTAATGATAAGTCAGGAGGCTTTTATAGTTTGATCTCTTTGAATCTCTGGCTATTGTTTCTAAAAGTAAAAATAATTTCACAATTGATTTCTAATTTATTTCACAATAATTTCTTTCAATAGCAAGAATGTACATGAGCCATGTACTCAAATGTTTTTTTTCTTCATTTTTTTTAAGGACAAAGCCTTGGTGGAATCTGCTACATGACCACAAAATAAGAAAACAATTTAGTCAAGCAGGCTTTAAAATAAGGTGATAAACCCTTGTATTGAAGAAGGAAGACTGAATTGGGTCTATTGTTTCAATTACATTGATTTGTGAGTAAGAATCTTAGTAGGTCACTAGGGAAAATGGTTGCTTTTGCATCAGATCTTCCTAAGCCTAAGACTTAAAGTGAATGAAGTCTGAAACATGTTATTACAGCAGAATTGCCATTGTAAAGGTTGGATATAACTTCAATTGCAAAGTTTATTCCTAGCAAGACTACTACAGACTCACTCTCTTTAAATGAAATATTTGTAGGAAGAAACAAGACTTGACTTGATTGCTTCTTCAAGAAGAGTAGTTCAGAAGAACATTATAAGACAGATGGAGAGTCTTGGAAGCTTCTCAAATTCATAGCTAGAGAAACTACAAAAACATTTTATAACACACACACAATAATTAGCACAAAGCATCCTGTTGCAGGAATGCAACCTCTTTTGTGCTATGCATTGTGAAACTCCCAGTATTGTAGACTCTTTAAGCAAAAGTACTTTGTTAGGTCTCCTTCTCATTGAACTTTCATGAACTGAAGCCAGATTTATTTCATTCTTGTATCTGGGCCAAGAAGTCTATGCAGGGCTTGTGGGCCTTTTAATATAACTGTCTTATCAGGCTTAAACTCCCTGCACTCTGAACCTTAGATCCCCGTAGAATTATATGAGTGTCTAAATCAGCTTCTCAAAGGTGCCCTGGTCTTTAAAAGTAAAGATATATTTGCTAGGCAACCCCCGTGATGAGCATAGTCAGATAAATCATTTTCTGTTCCTTAAACACATTCATCTTCTGAAGAGCTTACACTTCTCAGTGCCATTGAATCATGGCAGCTTCACAGTTACTAGTGTCATCTCAAGGTGCCCAAGCTTCTGGCTGTCTAACTTCAACCTGGCTTTCCATTGGTCGTCCCTGCATCACAGTCAGTCGTTTAGTGATCATGGTGCTGTTGGGGCTTAAGTGTTTTTCTCTTCTTATTCCTGCTTGACGGTTCTATACCTTATCCATAATAAAGAATTCTCACTAACTTAGAGAAATGAAAGAACCAGACAGAGTCTGACTGAAACTTGAAAGCAGTCTGTACTGAAACAAAAGCAGCTTGATGGCTGAAGGTGAAGAAGCGGTTATCTTCTATGCTTCCAAAAATATTACAAGACTGAAAGATCTGCTTACCAGCCACTTGGATTTATATCTTTAGTTCCTGAAAATTGTAACATGAATGCAAATAAAGTAGTATTATGAATCATAAATTAGATGTCAGAGAAACCTAAACATTTTGACAGTGAAATGAGGATCTCTGAAAAAAATGTCATAATGCTTTGCACCAATGAGAGCATAATAAAACCTGACAGTCCAATTTATTGAACAGGATTTTTGTATCACATCTTTAAATGAACATGATTTACTAAAGCGTAAATGAGTTAAAATACATTCAATTAAAAAAATATTTCATCATTGAAAATAGCATTTGTTTTATTCTTCACATATACAATACAGGATAACAAAATATTGAGCACTTAAAGGGTGTGTTTATTGTAAGTGGATTTGATGCTTATTATTGCTTTAAACAAGCATAATCACAATTTATCAGAACATACAAATGGTGTTTTTGGGCCCCATGAAATGCTCCGATCAACTAATTGCTAAAAACAAAATGAACAAGATGGGCAGATTGGCATGCCTTTGTCGTCAAATTTTCTTTTGTTCTATTTAAAGAAAAAAATATTAATAGTAACAATAGTTTTACACATAGTCCACAAGAACTTCTGAATGCAAAATTCATTTTCTACCAAACTCTAAATGCTGTCTATGAGATTCATTTTTGCTTCACCTTTATTTTTAATGAGTAATAAATCATAAGAAATAATAACTTTACTTATTTTTCTAACTACTTTTATCTTTTGGCTATTCCGTAGTTAATAGCATATATTTGATTGTTTTTTTCTAACCCTAATTTTCACAGGGGAAGGGATTATTCATCATTGGAAACAGCTTGTGTTACAGCGCAATTTAGAGTTACAGGTAAATGTCCATAGTAAAAAATTAAAATTGCTGACCATACTCAGAGCACATTAGATGTAATTTGAAAGTGTAATGCCCAGAGCTGCAAGTGGTATGCAAGCATAATGCAGAAAACTTTAATTCTCTATTGCATCACTTAATTAATTTAAACAGCTTATCGTACACATTGCAGTGAACTGGTTGAAGTTGCCCCTCAATATATCTGTCTGCAGACAGAGATAAATGTGACTTTCTTATGCAAAAAAAAACAATTAAATAACTTAGCCAGCGGGTATCAAAGCCAGCCATTAAATGTTTACTTTGACTCACTTGAACATG